CTCCCCCTGGCCCTGCTCACTTGGGCCATGCTCCTCCTGGGCCCTGCTCCCCTGTTCTCTGCTACCTCCTGGGCCCTTCTCTGCCTGTGCCCTGCTCCCCCTGGTCTTGCTCCCCATGGGCCCTGTTCCCCAGGCCCTTCTCCCCCTGTTAACTGCTCCCCCTGGCCCTGCTCCCTCTTACTCTGTTTCCTCTGGGCCTGCTCCCCATGGTACTGCTCTTCCTGGGCCATTATCCCCATGGCACTGCTCCCCCTGGCATTCTTCTCCCTGGCTCTGCTCCCCATGGCTCTGCTCCCCTGGGTCCTGCTCTTCTGGGACCTGCTCCCCTGGGCCAGGCTCCCCTGGGCCCGTTTCCCATATGTCCTGCTCCACCTGGCCATGCTCCCCTGACCCTGCACCCCATGAGTCCTGCTCCCCTTGGCCCTGCTCCCCTGGGCCCTGTACCCCAAGTGTCCTGCTCCCCCTTGCCCTTCTCCCGTGGGCCATGCTCCCTCTGGTCCTGCTCCTCCTGGGTCCTGCTCCCCTAGGCCATGCTCCACCCTGGGCTCCAATTTCCCTGGGCCCTGCTCCCCCTTGATCTTACTCCTCCTAGTCCTGCTTTCCTGTGCCCTGCTCCCTGTGGACCTGCTCCCCCTGGCCCTGCTTCCCTGGGCCCTGCTTCCCTGGGCCCTGCTCCCCCTGGATCTTCTCCCCCTGGTATTGCTGTCCCTGAGCCCTTCTCCCCTTGGCCCTTTTGCCCCTATCCCCAATCCCCCTCGCCCTTCTCTCCATGGGCCCTGCTCCCCTGGCCCTACTCCCTGTTGGCTCTGCTGCCCCTATCCCTGCTCATCTGGGCCCTGCTCCCCTTGATCCTCCTATCCCTTGGTCCTGCTCCACCTTGTCCTGCTCCCCCCGGGGCCCTGCTCCACTGGCCCTGCTCCCCTGGGCCCTACTCCCTCAAGTCTTGCTCCCCTGGGCCCTGCTACCCTTGTTTCTGCTCCTCCTGGGCCCTGGTCCCCCTAGACCTCGCTCTCCCTGAGTCCTGGTCCCCTCTGGCCCTGCTCCCCCTGGCCGTGTTCCCTCTAAGCCTGCTCACCTGGGCCCTGATCCCCTGTGCCCTGCTCCCTCTGGTCCTGATTTCTTGGTCCCTGATCCCCCGTCACTGCTTCCCATGGGTCCTGATCCTCCTGGCCCTGATCCCATGGTCCTACTCTCCTTGGGCCCTGCTCCACCTGGTCCTGCTCCCCATGGCCCTGCTCCTTCTGGCCCTAATCCCTTGGTCCTGCTTCCCCTGGCCCTGCTCCCCAGGTCCCTGCTCTCCTGGTCCCTGCTTCCCCTGTCCTGCACCCCTGGGCCTTGCTCCCCCTGGGCCCTCCTCCCCGTGGGCCCTGCTCCCCATGGTCTTGCTCCACATGAGTGGTGCTACCCCGGGTCCTGCTACCCCTGATACCTGCTTCTCATGTGCCCTGCTCCTCATGGCCCTGCTCTCTTGGGCCCTGCTCCAACCTGGGCTCCGCTCCCCCATGGGCTCCGCTCCCCCTGAGTCCTGCTCCCCCTTGGCCCTGCTCTCCATGGTCCTGGTTTTCCAGGCCCCGCTCCCTCTGGCCCTGCTCCCCATGACTCTCTTCCCCCTGACCCTTCTCCCTGTGATCCTGTTCCCCTGGGCCTTGCTCCTCCTGGCCCTGCTTCCCTGGGCCCTACTCCCCCCGGCCCTGCTCC